TGCTGGCACTGTCCTGTGCACATAGGATTTTAATAGTAAATGCAGTGGAAATCTTGCTGTGATAGAACTTATATTTCTTTTTTTTTAAAGAATTATTTTATTTGAAAGAGTTACATAGAGAAGGAGAGGCAGAGAGAGAGAGAGAGAGTTAGTTCTTCCATCTGCTGGTTCACTCCCCAATTGGCTGTAATGGCTGGAGCTGCGCTGATCCGAAGCCAGGAGCTTCTGGGTCTCCCACGCTGGTGCAGGTGCCCAAGGACTTGGGCCATCTTTCACTGCTTTCCCAGGCCATAGCAGAAAGCTGGTTGGGAAGTGGAGGAGCCGGGGCTCGAACAGGTGTCCGTATGGGATGCCGGCACTGGCAGGTGGTGGCTTTACCCACTATGCCAAAGCTCTGGCCCCAGAGCTTATATTTCTAATCAGGGGAGACATAATAAGTAAGTGTGAATTCATGTGATCCCCCCAGAAGGGCTGTAAGACTATGCTGTAAGGATAAGAGAGGAGCCTAGGAAAAGAAGGTGTTGCCAGGAAAGGCCAATGGTTGGTGGGCTCTTCAGGGTCTCACAGATTGCCTGACCTCTTTTTAGCCGCCACAGTTCACATCTGGTGTTAGTCTCCTGAAGTAGAAACCTCACCTGCTCAGATACCCAGAGCTGATAAGAGCCAAGAAAACCGGCTTAGTGTTGCTCATTGTCATAAGAGGTTAATGTATGAGCCAGGATGGCACTTTATTAGTCTGATTTAATGTGGAACTACCAGGAAGACTGGAATAGAAACTCACTTTTCGGGCATGCCCTGTTCCTGTAGTCGGGCCACTTGAGAAATGTTGCTTTGTTGAGTACAAAGTCTGAGAAACAGTAACGCAAGTGCACAGGTCAAAGGGTCTCCTCCCTTGGACAGGGTTCAACATGTCTTTCAGCCTCTGGTTCTCTTGGCCTTCACTGTCTACATTTTGGGCTAACCAGCCTTCTTTTTATTCCCATAGTTTTTTTGTAGTTTTGTTATGTGTGAAACATAGATTTGTTTATTAATATGAAATTCTATCCCTACCTTCCTCTTTGTTGACTCCCAGAGATTACTAAGGAGACCTTAGTTGGAATTTAGGGTATAACTCATCTTTTACTATCAGACATTTATGAATTGTATTTTTCTCACCAGATCACATCTGTGTGGGATGGAATTTACCTGTTCTAGGCTTTTGGGAGCACCTATTTCTTATATTTGAACCTCTTATCAATGATCATTAGAGGTTCACAGGGCAGAGTGGAGAGATAGAATAGATATGAACAGGAAATAGCAGTTACTAATCTAAAACTTTAGACATAGCTGAGATAGCCAGAAAATCCAAGATTTTTTTAAACTGTCTGAAATAAACCATTATTTAATATTGATTATATTATAATATCAATTTTTATTTAAAAGATTCTTATTTAATGAAATTATTTAGCAGAACAGAATATATATATATGTTGAGAATTAACAGAGAAAAATTGTCAACCACATAGTAGTAAGTCAGGTGAAATAGCTTGTAGTAGTAAGTAAAAGAGAAAAACTGGGGCCAGCACTGTGGCATAGTGGGTAAAGCCAACACCTGCAGTGCTGTCATCCCATGTGGGCACTGGTTCCCATTCCAGCGGCTCCACTTCCGATCCAGTTCTCTGTTGTGGCCTGGTAAAGCAGTGGAGGATGGCCCAAGTCCTTGGGCCTCTGCACCCACATGGGAGACCTGGAAGTAGCTCCTGGCTCCTAGCTTCAGATTGGCACAGTTCCGGCCATTGCAGCCAATTGGGGAGTGAACCAACACATGGAAGGCCTCTGTCTTTCTGCCTCTCCTTCTCTCTCTCTGTAACTCTGACTTTTGAGTAAAATAAATAAGTCTTTAAAAAAAAAAAAAAAAAAACTAAGGATAACAGCAGGCAATGTGGACAGTGACACAGAAAGGAAATGCTCCCCCACACACCCAGAAAGTGGTAGGGTTGTGTCACAAGGGCAGAAAAGCTAGGTTTTTTTATGTATACATATAAAGATTTATTTATTTGAAAGAGTTATGGAGAGGCAGATGCAGAGAGAGAGGTCTTCCATCTGCTGGTTCACTCCCCAAATAGCTACAATAGCTGGAGCTGGGATGATCTGAAGCCGGGAGCTGCTTCTGGGTTTCCCACTCCTTTGTCGAGATCTGGGACAATTTAAGTGCTAACAACTAAGTACAATAACATAGGCTATTACGAAAAAAAAAGAAAAAAAAAAAAAGGGAGCCAGCACTGTGGCATAGAGGGTAAAGCCTCTGCTTGCAGTGCCGGCATCCCATATGGGTGCTGGTTCGAGTCCCAGCTGCTCCACTTCTGATCCAACTCTCTGCTGTGGCCTGGGAAAGCAGTAGAAGATGGCCCAGGTCCTTGGGCCACTGCACCCTTGTAGGAGACCCAGTAGAAGCTTCTGGCTCCTGGCTTTGGATCAGCACAGCTTTGGCCATTGCGGCCATCTGGGGAGTGAACCAGTGGATGGAAGACCTCTCTCTCTGTCTCTGCCTCTCCTTTTCTCTGTAACTCTGCCTTCCAAATAAATAAATACTTAAAAATATATGAATTCCTGAGTCCATACACATAATGAATAATTTTTGTTTACTTGATTGTTACAGTAAGGAAAGACTGATCTTGCTTATTTTAGAATGTCAAAAGCTGACTGGAAAATGTGGAGTTGAAAATCAGAGTGCAACCATCACTGTAAAGATTATATTAGGCAAAAATAAATAAGTGGCTAAATTGGGTGCAACTTTGATGAGGGCAGAAAATTTGCGTGGTTTTAAGATTTCTACACATATCGTACTCTAAATGAAATGAAGTTAATCAAATCCTGGGGGATTGTACAGTAGCGTGTAGCGTGACTGAGCAGAATTAATTTCAGCAGTGCAAACAGGCTTGCCTCCAGATGTGACATCCTGAGAAGGATGGAACATCACCCATGTGGTGTCAGGGTCCAGCATGTCTGTCCTGATTCTAATTATGAAACATCAAGGTGAAAAGCATCCTGTTTTTTTTTTTTTTTAAAGATTTATTTATTTATTTGAAAAGCAGAGTTACAGAGAGGCAGAGGCAGACAGAGAGAAAGATCTTCCATTCACTGGTTCACTCTCCAAATGGCCGCCAACAACAGCTGGGCTGATCTGAAGCCAGGAGCCAGGAGCTTCTTCTGGGTCTCCCACTTGGGTTCAGGGACCCAAGCACTTGGGCCATCTTCTACTGCTTTCCCAGGCCATAGCAGAGAGCTGGATCAGAAGTGGAGCAGCCAGGACTCGAACCGATGGCCATATGGGATGCCATCAGTGCAGGTGGTGGCTTTACCTGCTGTGCCACATTGTTGGCCTCAACCATCCTGTTTTTAAAAATGGGTGACTATATTTCCAAAAAGGACTATGTCATAAAGGAAAACAAAATTCTTCTAAAAATAGTCTACACTAAAAGATCTGAATTCTTGGATTGAATTTTTTGTATTTTTGTAGTCAAACACTTATCTTCTGTTTTCTGTCATTTTTATAGATGGCTGGTTTCACTAGCTAGACTTTGATTCTTTTTAAAAGGTTTATTTATTTATTTGAAAGACAGAGTTTACAGAGAAGGAGATAGAGGTCTTCCATCTGCTGGTTCACTCCACAAATGGCTACCACAGCTGGAGCTGGGCTGCTCTGATGCCAGGAGCTGCTTCTGGTTCTTCCATGTGGGTACAGGACCCAAGGAGTTGGGCCATCTTCAGCTGCTTAACAGCGCATTAACAGGGAGCTGTATTCGAAGTGGAGCAGCCAGGAATTGAACTGGCGCCCATATGGGATGTTAGCTTCACAGGTGATGACTTTACCACTGTGCCATAACACCAACCCCTAGACTTCAATTCTTAATTCATTTTCATGGGATTAAGTTATCATTGTTGTAATAAAGATGGATGTACTTCTTTGCTCCCTTTACCACCAAGTTTTCTTCACAAGAACCTTTTCAAATTTTGTTAACAAAAGACCTTTTTAGGATTATCTGAGAATTTCAAAAAGCTTATTTCAGCATGTATTTGTTCTTTGCCTATGAAATTACCTAGAGAGAGGCATTATAATTCCCTGCTTGCACAGTCCATGCAGAAAGTTCTTTCTCAAGCATGTTCAACTAATTTAGCAGTTGATTTCAACAGCCCTTTTCTACCTTGCTGTGATACCAGCAGCACATCTTTCCTTTGCTTTTTATTCTCTTCTGTTCATGAAATGTGAGCTTCCTTTGTTTTCCTGATTGAAATGTAGGTTTTTTGGTCATTAATCAAAAAACAAATACCTGCTTCTTTCTTTTTTGTTAATATGAACAAAATCTAATGAGGTAAAACTCTGAATGTACAGAATTAACACAACGTACCCCATTTTTAGTGTCACATTAGTTTTAAAATTATTTTAATGAATGTACAGAAAAACTTAGCTATGACAAACTATCTACTCCCTCACCATGGTGTGTGAGACTCAATAATAAAGCATGTGAAAGTTTTTTGACATGCATGAATACATGATCTTCTTTTGAATTTCTTTATAAAGTAGGAAAAAAAAATAAGCTGTGAGGAGAAGGTAAAAGATATAAACATGATAAACTCTATAATCTTGTCGGAGCCACAGTTAGTTTGGAAATCAAATGTTTTACTAAAACTGTATAATTATATATAGAATACATGTTGTTCAGTAATAATGAAATCACTACTATTCTGTTCTGTAACTTGATGATAAAAAGTGTGTCTAAAGTAATTTCCTACATTCATATAGCATTGTTTGAAAGATCAAAATATGACTTAAAAGTATCCATTTGGTTAAAATGTCATTCACTTTCCTGCTTGGTAATGATTTAATAAAAATGCAAATATATTCGAAATTTACATTTCCGGTTATAGTGATAAAATAAATGGAAAAATTAATTTTTTAACAGTGTTAATATATGGGTTAAGTATGAGTATAATTCTGTGTTTATGTGTGTTTCTTCCAGGGCTAGTGGTTGGATTTATCTTAACCATTGCAAATTACAGTTTCTTTACCTCTTTGCTGATGTTTTTCCTTTCTTCTTCGAAACTCACCAAATGGAAAGGAGAAACAAAGAAGCGTCTAGATTCAGAATATAAGGAAGGTAAATGAATTATCTATGACATTACTCAAAATGGAAATTTTGTTTCATCCTATCAAAAGCTTTTAATGAAAATCTGTTGTTTTGACTGTCAAAACATTCATGTTATGTGAGAACTAACTTGAGTAGCCCAATTTAGTTTATCATTTATTTCATCACAAGAGGAAGTAACAGCAGAATTATAGAAGTACTAGAATCTATCCTTAATTATTCTAGATTTATTAATAACAATTTAGAATGTGGGCAAAAGTGCCATACCACTTTTATTTTTCTTAATACTTTTTGTCATGTTTTTTCTTTTTTTAAACTTTCAAATGTAAGTATATGATTTTTCTTCTGAAGAGAATGCATGTCCTTTTCATCTCTTTGTTTCTAGGAGGGCAAAGGAATTGGGTTCAGGTGTTCTGTAATGGAGCCGTGCCTACAGAGCTGGCCCTACTGTTCATGATAGAAAATGGCCCCGGGGAAATCCCAATTGATTTCTCCAAGCAGTACACTGCTTCCTGGATGTGTTTGTCTCTCTTGGCTGCACTGGCCTGCTCTGCTGGAGACACCTGGGCTTCCGAGGTTGGCCCGGTTCTGAGTAAAAGCCCGCCAAGGCTGATAACAACCTGGAAGAAAGTTCCTGTTGGTGAGTCTGAGTTTCTTCAGAAAGCAAAAACAAAACCTCTTAATATTAAGCTTTTCTTATGTAAGAATCTTTTTAAGAATTCTGCCTCCTTAATTGGCAAATTGCATTTGACTATGAAATTGGTAATCATAAATAATATTTGCAAGAAATGTGAGCCAGACCTAGATAAACAATACAGGAATATAGAGAATGACTCACAAACATATCAGTGGGAAAGTAAATGAAAGGGAACAATAAAATACTTAATAGCCTATAATGCTCCTGGGCTCAATAGGCTAATCCTTCACCTGCAGCGCTGGCACACCGGGTTCTAGTCCCGGTCGGGGCGCCGGATTCTGCCCTGGTTGCTCCTCTTCCAGTCCAGCTCTCTGATGTGGCCTGGGAGTGCAGTGGAGGATGGCCCAAGTGCTTGGGCCCTGCACCTGCATGGGAGACCAGGAGAGGCACCTGACTCCTGGCTTCAGATCAGTGCGGTGCACCGGCCGCAGCGGCTACAGCGGCCATTGGAGGGTGAACCAACGGAAAAAGGAAGACCTTTCTCTCTGTCTCTCTCTCTCTCACTGTCCACTCTGCCTGTCAAAAAAAAATAGCCTATAATGCTCCAAATGGAAATTTTGTTTCATCCTACCAAAAGCTTTTAATGAAAATCTGTTGTTTCAACTGTCAAAACGTTCATTTTATTTGAGAACTAACTTGAGTAGCGGTTTAGTTTATCATTTATTTCATCACAAGAGATAACAAGAGTTGAATGGGAAACATCTGGCTCGCAAAATCATTTGGTCTGGCCTGGCCAAGGCAACTGCAGGTGAGAAGTAAAATTTAGTAAATCTATAGCAGAGTAACTTTTTTTGACAGACAGAGTTAGACAATGAGAGAGAGAAGAGAGAAAGGTCTTCCTTCCGTTGGTTCACCCCCCAAATGACCACTACGGCCACCACGCTGCAGACGCTGCGCTACGCCAATCCAAAGGCAGGAGCCAGGTGCTTCTCCTGGTCTCCCATGTGGGTGCAGGGCCCAAGCACTTGGGCCATCCTCCACTGCACTCCCGGGCCACAGCAGAGAGCTGGCCTGGAAGAGGGGCAACTGGGACAGAATCCGGCGCCCCAACGGGGACTAGAACCCGGGTAGCCAGTGCCGCAGGCAGAGGATTAGCCAAGTTAGCCGCAACGCCAGCCGAGGCTAACTTTTAAGTTAATAATTGTGTCTGCCCCACGAATGATTTTATGAATACCCAAATGGTCCTTGGCAGAAGAAAAGGTTCCCCAGACTTAGACATAGGAATTACTGAGCAGAAAAGACCATTTTCTCAATAGTCTGTTGTCTGCAGATTGCATTAAAGGGAATCCTTTCCCTAGCTCCAAATTTTGTTGCTTTTCTTGACTTTGTGTGTTTACTGATTGTTAGCCGGTTGATTTTATGCTTGTTTCTTCCATAGGGACAAATGGAGGAGTCACCATGGTGGGCCTTGCTTCCAGTCTCCTTGGTGGTACCTTTGTGGGCCTTGCATACTTTCTCACACAGTTGATTTTTGTGAATGATTTAGACTTATCTGCTCCCCAGTGGCCAATTATTGCATTTGGGGGTATAGCTGGGTTACTAGGATCAATTGTGGACTCGTATTTAGGAGCGACAATGCAGTTTTCTGGTAAGAGCACTTTCTGGTTTTTTAAAGAAATGGGGAAATACAGGAAAGGGGGAAAAAGTTCTGATAATGAAACAAACCCAAAGACACATGTTGAGAAAGCAGAAATGATAGGCCAAAGTTTCTTCGACAGTTTTGTTTGCTTATTCTTTTTTTTGTTTTTTTGACAAGCAGAGTGACAGTGAGAGAGAGAGCAGAGAAGAGAAAGTCTTCCTTTGCCGTTGGTTCACCCTCCAATGGCCGCCGCTGCAGCCGGCGCACCGCGCTGATCCGATGGCAGGAGCCAGGAGCCAGGTGCTTTTCCTGGTCTCCCATGGGGTGCAGGGCCCAAGCACCTGGGCCATCCTCCACTGCACTCCCTGGCCATAGCAGAGAGCTGGCCTGGAAGAGGGGCAACCGGGACAGAATCCGGCGCCCCGACCGGGACTAGAACCCGGTGTGCCGGCGCCGCAAGGTGGAGGATTAGCCTATTGAGCCACGGCGCTGGCTGCTTATTCTTTTGTATTACAGTAAGTGAAAGAGAATTAACCCTGTGGAGCAATAATTAGAAGCTGTGTGGGAAGGCTATGATAGCACAGGGAACAGATGCTTTGCCAGCAAGTCATCCCAGGAAAACAGGGCATTTGGGATTGGGTCATTTTAATATATCTCCTTCCATCCATTTGTTTTTTTAAGGCATTTGGGGAGATAGTTATTATACTAATCTGACCATATACACACATCTTTTTCTCCTTCTGTGATAATCTCACTTGCTGTTCTTGCCCCTTGAGTATTTAACCCCACTCAAGCCAACTCACATTTTTTCAGAATTATCTCTGCTTTATTTCTGAGGCTCTCCTGACATATTATGTTAGGTGTCTTTGCCCCACACTCTCACCAACTTTGTTTTCTCCTTTGATTGACATAATGAAGAGGCTAGGGAAAGGTCTCTTAAGGACAGTCCTCCCAGTGCTCTTCATGCTCCAAGCTAATCCACTTGCCCTTTCGCTACCCTGCCCACCAATCAGAATGTTTGTCACCTAAGTTTCATTAATGTCATCTAGCTGCTAAGGAGGAAGTAATCTGATTTTAATTCACATTAACGGATTAATGACTACACATACACATACAGTGTTTTGTGTTTTTTAAGGAGTTTTATTCTAAGTTGGAGTCCAGCTAGGGAACTTTGTATTCACACTCAGTGCATTGAAAAAAAAAAAGTGGGCAGTGGAAGAAATTAATTCATTCAGTGAATTCATTTAGTGAATCTTTGTGTGCCACTATCTTAGGCCATTTATGCTGCTGTAAAGAGTAGAAATTTATTTCTCTCAGTTCTGGAGGCTGAGAAGCCCAAGATCCAGGCACCAGCAGGATGAGTTCTCCTGAAGGCACATTGTCTGCTTCCAAGATAGCACCTTGTCTCTGCATCCTCACAGGGCAGGAAGGCAGAGGCCAAGGCAGCTCTCTAAATCCTTTTATTTAAAGGCATTATCATTCATGAGGGCTCTGCTCTCTTGATTTAATCACTTCCCCAGAGGGCTCTGTTGGGCCTTACATTCCTGCATGAATTCTGGAGAGACACAAACTTTCAAACCATGGGAGCTTCCTTTATGCCAACACTATGCTGGACCCTTTGAATCCAGTGCTGAAGGCTCAGACATAATGCCTACTCTAAGAGGCCTTGTAGTTGATCCTGGAGGGAAACCAGTAGGAGGGCCTAGCCTGCCTGTTTCAAGCCATCCCTGCTTTCCATGTGTTCCATTCTACTTCTGAAGCAAATTCAGAGACATTGAGAGAATAGCGCGAGAATGTGTTCAAACTTATTTGTTCAGAGGGACCTCTTATAATCAACAGTCCCCTATCATATAAATTATCCACTAAAGTCATTTTATAAGTCACTGAGAATTTTTCAAAGATTGTCTCTTTGAGAGGAAAACTAATTTTTTAAAATCAAGTCATTTGGGTTTTCTACTTCTCTTGCTTCTTTTCCACTCCAGGTTTGGATGAAACCACTGGCATGGTGGTCAACAGCCCAACGAATGAGGCAAAGCACATATCAGGAAAACCTATTCTTGATAACAATGCAGTGAACCTGTTTTCTTCTGTACTTATTGCCCTCTTGCTCCCAACAGTTGCTTGGGGTTTTTGGCCCAGGGAATGAACTTCATTTCATTTCCACTAGTGAGTTCAGCTAACCTTGTAATTCCAAATTTCATCCAAAGAGTAATTGTAATGGAAGAGATTGGAAATGCTAGCTCCTTCCATATTCCATTGTGATGGAATTCCGCATTTTCCTTTCATCAAGTATCTTGTCACAGCTAACGAGAAGAATGCAGAGAATTTTCACATTTTTTTTTCTGCTGAATGGAACTTCTTCAACAATAGAGTATATTTACCCTATATATTGCTGTAAATTGAACTCAAAGATCCTACAAAGTCAATGTAAGTTTTATTTTGCTTGTGTAAATGAGTATAAGAACTAAAAATGATGATATTTTTAAACTATTTTCAGTTGTAGCGGAGAAATGCCACTAGTCCAGTGCAATACCTGTTTTAAATGATTCAAGGTAATGTATGGAAACCTCAGTAAGTGTAGTATACCAGACTTCTATTACCTTGCCATTCACAATTGTGAAAAGTGTGGAGATTATGAATTATGTGGCCTACTGCACATTTTTTTTCCTTTCTCAGGGTAAGTGATTTTTTTTAAAAAAAGTAAATATCTTTTTCATATGACCATTAGGAAGCATAAAAATTATTTTTGACTAGAAATTTAAAAATTTATCTCTAAAAATGTGCACCTTATTATAAATTGCAGTTTTCTGAATAGAAACTATCTTGAGTTCATTATTTTTTGCTTTCTTTTAAGAATGTGTAGGAATCTGGTATAGCATTGGCATCCTAAACAGTTGAAAGTCACTGGAAAATTACTTTAATTTTTTTTATTTACTGTTCTGTAAGTTGTGGGAAAATACTATGATTTTGTTATACCTCGTCTACAGTATGCTCTCCTTTATGTTATAACCTCAACTAAGGTGAATTCTGCTTTTCTGTTTTGTTCTTCACTGATTTCCTGTGTGCTAAACGAGTTTTGACATGGTACAGATTTTTCTGCTAAACATACTTTAAAATGTTTCTTTCTCCATACCTTCCTTCCCCCTGCCCCCAATACTTTCTGTGTTCTTAAGAGATTTGGAAAGGATTCCATGAATAAGGCACCACCAAGCAGTTCATAATCTAGAGCTGAATTGGTTCAAGAAGAAAAAACAGTTCACACCCTTAATCTTTAAGCCAGTCTGTGTTGGATCACAACCATTGCTTTTGAATTTTGGATATATGTTGGAAGCACCTGGACAGGTTTTTAAAAAAATTTGTATCTGGGCTTTACACTCCAAAATTTTGATTTATTTGATCTTGGGTAGAGCCTAGGTATTGATTCCTAGTTGCTATGTATGTAGGATGCTGGCCACAGCAATGCCAACTTCACCTCAATTTCATAAAGACCTAGTATAGAGAAAAATCATGTGGAATGAGAAGTTTTAGTCTTTAGTACATGCCTGCAGTATGAACAGCTCCTGCCTTTTTGGCCCAGCACTTAGGTGAGGGCCCATTCAACTTCCTGAAGTTTCAGCTGATGTTCCCAGTGCCATCACAATGAGAATGAACTATACTAGCCACCAAACCCAGGTGAATTGTGTGTGCGTTAAAAATGCAAGGCAAGTAATGCAACTGAATTATTTAATCTTCTATGGAGTATTTGTAGCTGTAATTCCATGCTGTCATGAGTTTGCTTTTTAAATGTGTTCAATACATGTTTGTTGAATTAAGTTGTTCAACTCTAATCAGGATTTCCCTTACAAGTCTCCAAAAGTTAATAATCTGGAGCATATTCCTGAAGGGAAACAAAGAAACAAAAAAACAATTTGGCTACCTACCTTTCTGAGGACTGTGATGATTACAACTTTTCTCAGTCATGTGAAACAATATTAATGGTTTTGGAATAAATTGAGTCAGGAAATTATGGTAGAAGGAATAGTCCCTGAAATTATTTTCCCTTCAAGACTAAGCATCAGTTCTCTTCTGTTTATCATTAACTGCACTTAAAAATGTGTTTTGCAATGTGGCAATTTTTTTATGTTTGGGTTTTTCCATTTTATTAAAATGTTTAATTACTTAAGTAATTCATGGAGTCGATTCTTTTTAATAATTAGAACATTGAAGGGAGTTACTGTTTCTCCTAGTGGTTAAGACACCTACGTCACATATTCATGTACTTAGGTTCAATTCCTGGATCTGCCTCCTGAGTCCAGCTTCTTCCAGTGCAGACTCTGGGAGGCAGCAATAATAGCTCAGATAATTGGGTTCCTGCTACCTCTGGGGGAGATCAGGGTTGAGTTCCTGACTCCTGGTTTTGCCATGATTCACCCTTGGTGTTTGTGGGTATTTGGGGAGTGAAACAGCAGATGGGAATGCTCACTTTCTCTCTCTATTCCTCTCTCTTTCTCTGCCTCTCAAATTTGTAAAGCTTTTAAGTAATAATTTTAATTTATAATATTACAGATGAAAGCTAAATTATTCTTTTCCCCTCATTGCCACTCAATAACCCTGACCCCTTCTTATATTCTAAAAGATAGGTACTGAAAGAAATTTGGGATACTTTTTACATAGTATTTGTTTTGAGTGTGTGTGTGTGTGTGTGTGTATAAAAAGATATATTCATTTATTTGAAAGGTAGTGAGACAGCTCTTTCATCACAACAGCCAGGTCTGGGCCAGACCAAAACCAGTCTCCTCCATGGCTGCCAGGAACCTAACTGCTTGACTTGGGTCATCATCTGCTGCCTCCCAGACACATTAGCAGAAAGCTGTATCTGTATCAGAAGCATGGAGTAGCTGGAACTCGACCAGATATTCCAGTATGAGATAAGGGCATGACAAACTGCAGGTTAACACACTGTACCCTAGTACCCTCCTGTGTTTTGAGTATGTTTTAATGCACATTTTTCTAAATCAATGAAATTTTTATTATTAATATTATATTCTTGTTGCTTCAAGTTAGTTGCTTATATCTAAGAAAAAGAGGGATACACACCAGAATGTTAATGTTTTCAATTTTTAATGAAATAATTTAAGTATTTTAAGTAGTATGAATTATTTCTCAATAAACATTAAAATATATAGTTAATTTTAAATATTCTAAAATGTCTACAAATATTTCTTCTGTGAATAAGAAATGCTCAAAGTAATTAAAATAATTTCTGAGAATTACTCTTCTTTTCCTATCCACCTCTCTCCAACATTACATTTTTCAAAGATTTATTTATTTATTTGAAACAGAGTTACACAGAGGCAGACGCAAGGGTGAGGGTGGAGAGAGAGAGAGAGAGAGAGAGAAAGAGGTCTTCCACCCATTGGTTCACTCCCCAGATGACTGCAACAGCTGGATCTGGGCCAATCCGAAACCAGGATCCTGTAGCTTCTTTCGGGTCTTTCACATGGGTGCAGGGGCCCAAGGACTTGGACCATCTTCTACTGCTTTCCCAGGCCAAAGCAGAGAGTTGGATTGCAAGTGGAGCAGCCGAGTCTCTAACGGGCACCCATATGGGATGCTGGCACTGCAGGCGGCAGCTTTACCCACTGCGCCACAGTGCTGGCCCCTCTCCATCATTATTTTAAATGATAGTCCTTCTTGTTATAAAGTACCTTAATAGTGATAAAGTGGAGTGTTAGTATAACATAATGAAAAGGACAATGGATACTCGAGAATCTTTTGATACCTTGAGTTTCAGATCATTGTAGAAATTCACACAAGTATCACATATCTTCATGTCTGAGTAGTGAATCTTGTTTGATACTGAGTTTTTGCTTACATTTCTAATTCTTCTGACCTTGCTTAGTAATTTGCATTTGGAATTGTACAGGGCAAACACCTGATTGCATGTCAAAATTCTCAATGCATTGTCAGAGAATTCTAGAACAAAGAACTTTAAGTAATCTCCTCACTCCATTGCCCAGACTTGAAACTAAGAAGTACATATACCATCTTATGAGTGAGTGTAGTCTTTTCTCTTTCATGCTTCCTTATCTTTGCACGCACTGTTCATTATGCCTGGAACTCTTTTAACAAGGTTAATTACTTCATTTTTTATCTAAAAATGATGCACCAAATTATAGTCAAATACTGACCATTTACAAGTGTGTTTTTTCAATTACTGGCAAAAATTGCTTCTTGAATTTCACACCCCATGCATGCCTTGTCATACATAGAAATAGATTTTAAGATAATCTTTTCAGATTTTTTAAAAAACTCTTTATCTGTTTGAAAGCGTGTCAGAGAGAGGGAGAGACACAGAGAGATCTTTCTTCTTTTTTTAAGATTTTTATTTATTTATTTGAGAGAGAGAGTTACAGACAGTGAGAGGGAGAGACAGAAAGGTCTTCTTTCTGCTGGTTCACTCCCCAGGTGGCTGCAACAGCTGGAGCTGTGCCCATCGGAAGCCAGGAGCCAGGTGCTTCTTCCTGGTCTCCCACGTGGATGCAGGGGCCCAAGGACTTGGGCCATCCTCCACTGCCCTCCCAGGCCACAGCAGAGGGCTGGATTGGAAAAGGAGCAGCCGGGACCAGAACTGGTGCCCATATGGGATGCCGGCGCCACAGGCAGGGAATTAAACTACAGCATGGTGCCGACCCTGAGAGAGAGAGAGCTTTTATCTGCTGTTTACTCCCTAAATGCCTGCAACAGTCAGGACTAAGCCAAGCCAAAGCTAAAAGCCAGGAACTCCATTAAAGTCTCCAAGTGGGTGACCTTGGGCCATCATCTGCTGTCTCCCAGGCACATTTAGGAAGCTAAATCCAAAGTGTGAAGTAGTGAGAACCCAGGCACTCTGATATGGGATAGAGGCATTCCAACTAATGGCTTAACCCACTGTACCACAATACCTGCCATTTTCAGATTTTTAAAGTAATACTTTGATTATATATAGGAAATAGGAAGAATGTAGAATGGGAAAAAAGATTCATAGTGCTACTCAGAGACCAGAGAGAAATCAAGGTTTATGCTTTAGTATATATATTCTTTCTCTCTTAGGTCTGAAGGTTAGCTGCAGTGGCCATTGGAGGGTGAACCAACGGTAAAGGAAGACCTTTCTCTTTGTCTCTCTCTCTCTCTGTCCACTCTGCCTGTAAAAAAATAATAATAATGAATACACTATGTAATTAGTATGCACAGTTTTACATCTGCTTTCATTACTTAACCCTGTGGTATAACCTTTTTTCCTGCCATTCAAAACAATTTGAATACATTTCTAATGACTAGGCAGTCCAGCTTGGAGAGCACCAATTTCTTACTTGAGGCTTTTACATTTTTTCCCTCAATAGTAAGAAAGTCTGAGTGGTTTGTGAAATTACTGAGTCATGGCCAGTGCTGCAGCTCACTAGGCTAATCCTCCGCCTGCGGCGCCGGCACCCCAGGTTCTAGTCCCGGTCGGGGCCGGATTCTGTCCCGGTTGCCCCTCTTCCAGGCCAGCTCTCTGCTGTGGCCCGGGAGGGCAGTAGAGGATGACCCAAGTGCTTGGGCCCTGCACCCCATGGGAGACCAGGAGAAGTACCTGGCTCCTGGCTTTGGATCAGCGAAGACTTTTCTCTCTGTCTCTCTCACTGTCCACTCTGCCTGTCAAAAAAAAAAAAAAGAAAAAAAGAAAAAGAAAAAGAAATTACTGAGTCAAAGGCTTTTGTTCTTTGGAAAGATTTTAACAGTTTCTAGAACTACCACTGGTGGATGAGAGTACTCATCTCACAGCAACCCCAGAAACACTAAATATCATTGATTCCTTAATATTTGCCACTTATATTTCTAAAAGTATTTTTTCAAACTAATAAAGGTTTTATTTTTAAGGTAAAACATGTAATACTGATACACGTCCAAAGAACAGAGTTCAGTGGGTTTTATGAAAAAGAAAACTGCATGCGGATCAAACTATAAATTGGAGCCACTGAAGGAATGACCATTGATTGTGGTGACATGTATGCAGTGTGTGCTTGTCTAAGAGGTTGTTGTATGTTTTCATCTATGTGAAAACATGATAGGAGTGGAGAAATGCAAAGAAGGTAGCAGATAGTCAAAACTTTAAGACTCTACACTACAATGTATTCTCCTGCTTTGGATAATTAATCAGTGGGTCATTTTATAAAGATTTTAATACCAAGGAACATGTCCAAAAGTCTAAAATAGATTCAGGTTACCCCTAAAGTTCTATAAGTGAGCAGTGAAGCAAAAAATAGTTTGTTTTCAAAAGCCGATTTCACAGTAGTGGCTAAATCTAAACATACATGCTGCAATAGAATAACTAAATTCTGTAGAATAGAAGAACTAAATCTAACATATATACTTGCAGTAGAAAAGAAGATGGTGATCTTAATAAAGGCTGATCACGTTCAAGTTGTTCGAACTCTTGACCATGAATTCTCTGCCTTCATCAAGTTCCTCATTCGTTTTCTGCAGCTCCTCATCATTCAAGTTCTCACCCACCTCGTTGTCCGAGTGATTCAGACTTCTGATCCATATCTTTTCTTTTGTGTTTTTTTTTTTTAAGATTTATTTATTTATTTGGGCCGGCGCCACTGCTCAATAGGCTAATCCTCCGCCTGCGGCGCTGGCACACCAGGTTCTAGTCCCAGTCGGGGCACCGGATTCTGTCCCAGTTGCTCCTCTTGCAGTCCAGCTCTCTACTGTGGCCCGGGAATGCAGTGGAGGATGGCCCAAGTGCTTGGGCCCTGCACCCATATGGGAAACCAGGAGAAGCACCTGTCTCCTGGCTTTGGATCAGCACACTGCTGGCCATTGTGGCCATTCGGGGGGTGAACCAACGGTAAAGGAAGACCTTTCTCCCTGTCTCTCTCTCACTGTCCACTCTGCCTGTCAAAAAAAATTAAAAATAAAATAAAAAAGATTTATTTATTTATTTGAAAGTCAAGAGTTATACAGAGAAGGAGAGGTAGAGAGAGAGAGAGAGTCTTCCATCTGCTGGTTCACTCCCCAGTAGGCCGCAATGGCCGGAACTGGGCCCATCTGAAACCAGGAGCTTCTTCTGGGTCTTCCGTGCGGGTGCAGGGGCCCAAGGACTTGGGCCATCTTCTGCTGCTTTCCCAGGCCATAGCAAAGAATTAGATGGGAAGTGGTCTGC